TTAAGTGGGAGAACTTGCACAATTGGTGGCTGACTAAATACCTTTTTGCCCCACTGTAAGTTACCCTACTTAGGTACCTCAGTGACCTTATTTAGGTGGCAGGGCCTGCAGCAGCCCATCTGTCAGCAAATTCAAATAATTACATATTTTGCACAATCATCATTTTGAATCAGGACTCACTGCCAATTGATTTTATTTGATGAGACGGAGTTCTAGTAGTATGTACGTGAGAGGGGACATAATTCCACAAAACCACTCACATACACCTTCCTTTTTGGGGCATGTTTTCTATGGCAAACCTAAGATTACAAGGTCACCAGAGCAAAGAACTTCTCCGACTGTGCTGTTGGGAGGGATGGCCCATGCAAAGCAGCATAAAAATATGCATTTCAGCATTACAAAGTTCTGCATATGTGTGCCTCCATTTAAAAGTACAGTTTTCAATTGGAAAAAAGGCATTTCCCACAAATTTTGGATAAAGAGAGAGACAGTAACAAAAAAAATCTAAAGAGGCCAAAAACTACGCTAGGAGGGGGAAGATGCTAATCCATCTTTTCTGAGAAAAACATGAGAAATGCAGCAATTTCTAAGGTTTAAAAAAGTAAATAATTCCTAACTCCACCACTGGCCTCCCAAACGCTTTCCAATCTCCCTGTAAGAGATCCTATTTCTGTGGTGACCTACTTTGTAGAGTGAGTAGGACGGGTGTGGCAGACAACACATGTGGGATTAGAACTTTGTGGTTCTCTCATTTGACAAGACATTCTTAAAAAAAAAAAAAAAACAGGAATCCCCGCTTCATCTTACTTCCTTTGGATGTAAAAAGAGGACACCATATTTACCATTAATAACTGTTATCAGTTTAAATATACAAAGGGCATTCTGAAAGTACACAAATCTATTTTTTCAATGTTATTTATCATAAATGACATGGCAGTGAAGAGGGTGGCCTCAAGATGGTGATGGATGAGCATCTATGCTGTCTGTTTTATTCTATTTCACTTTATCTTTCAACTTGCTATTTTAATTTTTATATGCTTTTAATTTACTTTTTAGAAACTGTAACACCTGGGCAGTCATCTATCTGCTCCAACTACAGCTCAATAAAATATAAAACAGGACTCAAGAATGGGAAAAAAGGAAGAAGAGACAGCGTGTACACTCCACAACACAGACCTAAGCCTTTGAAGCAGCAGAAAATGGATGAAAATCCATGGCAGTGAAGGCACTACCCAATATTTTATTAATAGGAATCTCTTTAAATCATCTCTTTATATTTTCTTAGGCTACAAAATGTTGTGGACAAAATGGATTCATAGATTATATAGCATAACAAGAAAAATGCAGCAATGAATAAACTGTGAAACTATTTTGAAATAATTTCTTGGAGACAGAAATGTTTATACATGTCTTTTCCCCGCCTGATGTTTGATCCACATTAGGGGACACTAGTTCAAATTAATAATCAGAACTTAATCTAAGCAAGTGGAGCTTCGTGTATTTTTGTTTGGATCTTATTTTATGCCTTACTCTGAAAAAAAAAAAAATTAGTTTCGAAGCTGCTCAGACCAAATCACAGGCGGGGGGGCGGGGGGGGGGGGACATTTC